GAGAGAGAGTGAAAGAGAGAAAGAGAGAGAGAGAGAGAGAGAGAGACAGAGAGAGAGAGAGAGAGAGAGAGAGATGTGCTACTCATCACACCAGAGAGAAAATGCAGTCCTAACAAAAGCTAATGGCCTTTTCCTAACATTCCCATTAATTCATGAAAATGTTACTTCTGTAACGTTCAGAAGTGTATGTAATGTTCAATTCAAATGTAACATTCCGTTTTTTAAATCTTGGTTATTCAAATTTTAAGGAAACATTCCGTTTTGGAAACATTATGGGAACGTTACTTTTGAGTGAACATTCTGAAACATTAAAAAAAAAAAGCACATTCTAACAAGAACGCTTCACCAACGTTGTCATCAAGTAATCAAAACATCATTTGTGAACGTTCTCTGAACATTCGTCCAGCGTTTTATTTTAGTTACGTGAACGTTAAGGGAACATTCCGTTGTATCGTTTTCCGAACATTATGAGAACGTTACTTTTGAATGTTCTCTGAACGTTCTGAAACAAATAGTAACATTAAAGGGGTCATATGATGCTTTTTTAAAGATCATTATTTGGTGTATTTGGTGTAACAGAATATGTTGACATGCTTTAATGTTCAAAAAACACATTATTTTTCAAATACTGTACATTATTGTAGGTCCTCTATGCCCCGCCTCTCTCAAACGCTTCGTTTTCTACAAAGCCCCTCCTTCTGACAAGCGCAGTCTGCTCTGATTGGCCAGCTGACCCAGTGCATTGTGATTGGCCGAACACCGCAAGCACTCGTCGGAAATGTAACGCCCCTTTTCCATAATCGCCAGCTTCAGCTTTCAACATAAATGTAAAGACAGCCTGAAAGGGGAACGGAGTCTTGTGACAGACACAGTGATGAAGCTGGTATGTGTTTGCAGTACACAAGCCACGGTTAAGACAGCTGACTCCACTGTGATGTGACTCTCTCTCGCTCGCTCTCTCTCTCTCTCTCTCTCTCTCTCTCTCTCTCACTCTCGCTCGCACGCGCGCGCACACACACACACGATGAGCAAAACTCTGCATTTGAACAGTCAATAGCAAATACTTAAACTAATAACAAAACAGTAGCTGATTCAGAAGCGCCAGATTGTCATAGCAAAGTCAGAATGACCTCCTCTCCTAGGTTCACGAAACGGTCGTCCATAAAATGCATTGCTGTTCTGTTGTAAGTCATCTTAAAGATTCCTAAATGCATCTACTTCCGGAAGACCAAATAAAGTGCTTTTGCTTTCGTCTAGAAACACACAGCGTCTCCCTGACATGCTGCTTCAACACTAACTGCGGTTACTGAAACCACGCCTTCTTTCTTTGCGTGAACATTTGGGCGCATTATGCTAATATTTCCACATAGTGAGGTAGATATGTGGGGGCGTGTTAGAACGAGCCGTTTTAGGGGGGCGTGGCAGAGTCTTAACTTTGATAAAGAATATCTCTTTGGTTTTGAGACTTTAGTCTTTGCAGCTTCAGGGATCTTATCTATGCACAATCAGCTTGTAACACTCCAAAGAGAAAGAACAACTTGAAATCGCATCATATGACCCCTTTAAAGCAAATGTTAGACAAACATTGTTTCAGCAATAAAATGTTCCATGAATGAACCAGAAACCTCTGAAAGAACGTTCTGTTAGCATTACTGGAAGAACGCTTGCTCATAACCTGATTTTTCCCATTTTTTTTAGAAAAATCAGTGCGTCTCAAATCATCAGGATCATAACTCTGAGAGGACCTTGTCTTGCCGATTTTTATAAGTAGCTAAACCTTTCTTTCTGACAGAAATGTTAAACAACCAACAATAACATCCAGTGATGCAAACTACTCGAGTTTCTGAACTGAAAATAAACATGAATGTTCTGAAACGTTCAAGAAGCGTTAGATGAACGTCCCACTAATACATTTCAGAAATAAATTGTTCCATTAATGATGTATAAACAGCATTTCTGTGCTGATGTTTCGAGAACATTATTAAAGACCAGATAACTCTGAACGAATGTTCTATTAACGTTTATTTTTGGACAATTTCTATGATAGAGCAACCAGCAGAAATCTCCAGTGATGCAAACTACTCTGAAAATACTGACTATGTGATTCGTGTGATTTATAATTGAATGTGATGAGACAAGAAACATTTGCAAATAATTCAATTCTATTATTTATCAATAAATAATTTTTTTTCTGTTTGTTTGTTTTGGTAAATCTGTACTGGAAATGTTAGAGGAACAGAAAACAGCCAGCATTCTATTAACAAATCAACTTTCCCTGTTTGCTGAAAATGTGTTGAAATGTTGTGAAATTCAGGTGCTTCTGACTCGCAGCAGAGACACTGGAGCGACCGGATGACTGTAAACAGAAAGATTAAGAATCAACCGTGGTATTTTATCGTAAGTCATTAGTTATGATGAAGATCTGAATCGGCTGAAGCTCACACTCTCAGGATGCAGGAGTCTCGTCAGTGATAATCAAAGCTTTAAATGCTCTCAGTGCATTAAATCATCGAAACGCATCTGATGATCTGAACATGATGTGCTGTTCTGGGAACTTCAAGAAGCATCTCTGAAGCGCTTTTATGATTTTAACAGGTTTCGTGTGTGTGTGTGTGTGTGTGTGTGTGTGTGTGT